GGTGGTCATTCCCAGTATTCCAAGGAATCTCCATACTGCTTTCCATATTGGCTGCACCAATTTACAGTCCCACCAGCAGTGAATGAGTGTGCCTTTCCCCCACATCCTCACCAACACTTATTGTTATTTGTCTTCATAATAGCTGCCATTCTGACTGGAGTGAGAAGTCTTTTCTCTGCCTTCCTCAACATGATCTAGCCACACTGGCTTTGGTTTGTATCTCATATGTACCATCTTCTTTTCTGCCTCAAGGTCTTTAAACATACTGTTCCCACTGTCTGGAATTTTCCCCTCTCTTCTCTCTTCTTCCTTACCCCTACCACTTTGCTTAGTTCACAGCTTAAATCTCTTCTTCTCTGAGAATAAATTCCGATTTCTCAGAGTGAGTTAGTTTTGTTTACTACTCTCTTTGGCTCCTGTACTTCTCCACAGGACTGATCACACTTCCAATAATTATTTATTTTCACAATTATCTCCCCAGTGGACTTTGTGTTCCATGAAGGCAGAGCCTCTGTCTCATGTACTGTCTTACTGCTAAGTCTCCATTTCCTAGCATAGTGTGTGGCAGATGGGAGTCATTCAGTGTACATTTGTTGAATGAATGAACAAATGAGGATTTATATGCATAACAAAATAATACAGCTTGAGTGTTAGTCTGGTCAAGCTGATATAACACAATATCATAAACTGGGTGGCTCATAAACAACAAAGACTTATTTCTCACAGTTTTGGAGACTAGGGAGTCCACAATCACAGATTGTCAGATGTAGTGTCTGTTGAAGGTCCACTTTCTTTTTCACAAATCACTGTCTTCTTACTATATCCTCACATAGTGGAAGAGTGCAAATGAGCTCTGTAGGGGTTATTTTCTAAGGGCATTAATCCCATTCATGAGGGCTTTATTCCCATGATATAATTATGTCCCAAAGGCCCTACATCCTAATACCATCACCTTAGGGATTAGAATTTCAACAGACAAGTTTTGGGAGGACATAAACATTCAGTCCTTTGTAGACTGTGTGGCTTAAACAACAGAGATGTATTTTTCACAGTTCTGATGACTAGCAAATTAAAGATCAAGGTGCCATCCAAAATTTTTCCTGGTGAGGGTTCTCTTCCTGGCTTGCACTCAGCCATCTTCTTGCTAGTTTCTCATAGGGCAGGGAGGAAAAGAGCAAGCTCCTGCTGTCTCTTCTTCTAAGAGTACTAATCCTACCAGGAGGACTCCACCATCAGGATCTCATCTAAACCCAATAGGCCCCATCTCCAAATATACCATCACGTTGAGGGTTAGGGCTTCAATGTATACATGGTGGGGTGCAATTCAGTCTAAAGCACTTGTATTATCTCCTCTGATCCTTGACAACCCCACGACACAGGTTCTATTTTAGGATGAAGAAAAATAAACTTAGACCATTGAATCTTCCAAAGGCTTCTCAGCTAGGTAGGGACAGAGCTTGGAGGCTTTCAAATCCAGGAACAATGGCTTCACCAGCAACTCAAGACTGGCAGCCCCCCCCCACCACCACCACCACCAAGCATTATCCTGTTTGGCTTTGAGTCATGTTGGTCTGAAGGTAAATGTGAAAGTATGGGAGACAGGAGTTGAAGGGGAACTCCAATGGAGAGGAGTACACACAGGCATGGGAACTCAGCAGAGCAAAGAAGAGCCCCTGAACATGGAGGGAAAAGATACTGAAATGGGTGGTTGGGGAAAGAAGTTTGACAGGAAACTGAACCCTGGAAGGTTGGGGGTGGAGTTTGGAACTATGATGTCAACTATCATAGGGAAATGTTTGACTCATCTTCCCTTACCCTCTTGGCCTTGTTCCCAGGTCCCACACCCCTTTTCTGGCACTGATAGGTTTTTCAGAACAGGAAAAAAGAAGAGCCAAAAAAAAAAAAAAAAATTAACCCCCACCTTATACCCAAACAGTGGGAGTTACAAAGATCTCTCTGTTGAATAGTTCTTAGAGCAAGAACATTTCTCCCACATAGAACCAGTGTTAAGATAGATAGGGGTGAGATTCCCACAGTCCTCCAAAGCTTAGTTAACTCAATAGCTTTCTGGAAATAGCTTCAGTGACCATATTGCTCAATTCACACAACATTTACGGAGCTCCTTCTCTGAAATAGGAACTGTGAAAGTGGCTGGAGATTTAAGGAGTTGTGTTTGGCTCGCTCTGCCCCTGGGTCATGGTGAGCTTTGTGATGATTAAGGTATTTCAGGCAGCAGCCCCTTGTCTGGGTCACTGTTTCTACAAAAAGGTGAATTCTCAGCCACAGCAGATGGGAATAGGCCTACCTTCCTCCCTTATGCTTTTATCTTACCTTCCCATTTGAAGGCACTCCTTTGAGTGTAGTCATTATCCTCCCAGTCCCTGCTAAGAAGAAAATTCAGAAGCCTGGCATATCCAATGTGTTGGTGCTGAAGTCCTGAGTGACCATTAAATAACTGTGTGGCCATGAGAGAGTCATATGGCATTTCTGAAACTGAAGAAAAAACACCTTCCTGCTTACTTTACAGGGCTCTTGGGGAAAATATCCAATGATATATTACATATGTCACTCATAAACTACAAAACATTACATAATGCCAAAAAAAAAAAGTGTAGTGATTTTCTCTGGTCTTGGTGGCACACACCTGTAATTCCAGTAACTTAGGAGGCTAAGGCAAGAGGATGGCAAGTTTGGGGCCAGTCTCAGCAACTTAAGTGTGATGACCCTGTCTCTAAATAAAAAGGGCTATGAGGGTAACTCAGTGGTAAAACACCCAGGGGTTCAATCCCCAGTACTGAAAAAAAATTGTAATTCTCATAGTTAATGAACTGGATGGGCCCTTTAGAATGCCTATTGTCACTCTTTATTTACTGAGGGCTTGGTCCTCTTCTAAACGTTTCATATTTCACATATTAATCTGAACAGCCCAGTGGGGTAGGTACTATTGTATCCTTCTTTTACATGTGAAGAACAGAGAGGTAAGTGACTGGTTCAGGGTCACATAATAAGTGACAGAGCCAAGATTCAAAAGCAGGCAGGCAAGTTCTAGAATCTACTGATAACTACCAGACCAAGCTGTCTCCTTTGTGCTCTACTAGAACATCTACATAGACTTCTGAGCACCTGATGGAAAACTATAATTGCTTCCTTTAATGGTAGATAAGGTAACGAAAGCAAAGGAGTCATGTTCACACACACACACACACACACACACCTGTTGTTTGTGGGTTTTTTTTTTTTTTGTGTGTGTGTGGTGGTGATATATTTTCAGTACTGGAACTGAACCCAGAGCTGGAATATGCTAGGCAAATGCTCTATCAATGAGCTATATCCCAGCCCTTTTTTTATTTTTATTGAGAGAAGAGTCTAGCTAAGTTGCCCCCATGGAGTAGCTGGGATGACATATGTGCCCCACCATGCTCTCTGAGTATGTGTGCGTGCTCAATCTCTCTCTCTCTCTCTCTCTCTCTCTCTCTCTCTCTCTCACACACACACACACACACACACACACACACACACAGACACACACTCTTGCAGAGTTCCTGATTCATAGTTGAAGCTCATTAACTATTTGTTGAATGAATAAAACCTCTGAGATGGTATACAAGTCTGATAACAACCACTGTTTTTCTTCCACCTTTATTTGATTGACTATGCACATTTTCTCCAGCCATTTCCAATAGGAGGTTGTTTGGCATTTCTCCCTGTCCTTATTGTCCTCCTTTCCACTTTTTCTACTTGGACAATGACCCATGTAAAGTAAACTTCAAGGATGTGAACACTATACTTGGATAACAGTCTGACACACTGGGTCAAATAGGACTATCCCTTCATCCCCCTAAAAGTAGACCCTAATTATTCAGGAATCTGTCCTCAGGAGCCCACTTCTGCCCCTGTATTGTTTGCCTGACAGGTTCTTGACTATGAAACCAAGTATCCAAGGTGACTCTTGGGCCTTTACAAGGCAGATAGGCAGAATCTATGAAGACAACTGTCTTTCCTTCCTTCCTCCCTCATAAACAGCAAAATATTCTGTCCCTTCTAAACATCTCTCTCTCTCTCTCTCTCTCTCTCTCTCTCTCTCTCTCTCTCTCTCGGGTATGTGTGTGTGTGTTTTAAGTTTTTGGTCAGAAAGAAAACAAAATTCTCTAAGGTTTTAACAGAAGAAAACAGATGATGTTTTGTAAGGGATTTGGGGCAGGAAACTGCATCTTCTAATCTGGAATCTGGAAAATTTATCAATTTTGTTTCATAGAGTAACTAGTGAAGATTTCTTGCAAGAAATAATTATCAGTACCACTGGCCTCACAAATCAGACTATATTCAAAGGGCTAAAAAGGGACAAGTTTTTGCATTTGGAGGTTTTGGGAAGTCCTGTAGTACAGTGGACAGGAATGCGTCTTGTTGGTCTCCTCATGTTGGGAAAGTACAGACTGTTGGTTCTCATCACAAACTCAAAAAGAAAAAAACTGACAAAAATCGAGATTATTAGATAACTGGCAATCACACGCATGATTCATTCCTTATTCCAACCAGGGCTTTTATTTTCGGTTGTTTGTTTGGGTTAGAGATTACTTTGGGGAACTGTACGTCCCACCGGACACTCCAAACTCGTTTCTCAAGTCGAGGTCATAGCCTCCAATCCTTGGAGGGCCACCGCCTTCCGGGTCCGCGACCCAGGAGTTGGCCGGCGGGGCCGCGCCGGCGGGAGCGCGCGCCCCAGCGTGCCGGTGGGTGTTAAGAGAAGGAGGACGCCGTCCTGGGAGCGCGCGAGGCCTCACGTGCGCGCGCGCCCGCCCGCCAGCCGGCGCGCCCACGCACGCTCCCGCCCCCACTCCCGGGAAGTCTCGCGATGCGGTAGCCGGCTAGTCCCGCTGCGGGTGGCTCCGGCAGTTGCTGTGGTTGCTTGAGTTGCTGCTGCGGCGGCGGTGCTGGTGGAGGTGTCGGCCCCTGGGCGGATGTTGACATTGTGTTGTTGTTATTGCCGATGGTAATGGCGGAGGCGGTGGCGACGGTTCGGACCCCATCCGTTCACTAGCCGGAGTCGAGACAGACGAGAGCGAACTCCGCGGCCTGAACCGGCAGCAGCGACTCCCTCAGCCTCGCCGCCTCGCCAGCCGGAACACCGGCGCCAGACCCTGGAGTCAGGCCCCTGGGGCAGGGGGGCTCGGAGGCACAGAATGGCGGATTTCGACGAGATCTACGAGGAGGAGGAGGACGAGGAGCGGGCCCTGGAAGAGCAGCTGCTCAAGTACTCGCCGGACCCGGTGGTGGTCCGCGGCTCCGGTCACGTCACCGTGTAAGGCCCGGAGGAGGGCGAGGACGGGAGG